GCCGCGAGGGGGCGGCTTGCGCGGAGAGAGCGGTCCGCTCGCAGGCATTCGGCGCCGCTGTGGATGTGGCCAAGCGCCGCTCAGCCCTTGGGCTGCTCTGAGCGCGCGGTCCGATGCCACCACACCGCGGGCGCTCCGGACCCCGGGAATCCCAGCGCCCACGTCTGCGACAATGCTTGTGACCTCCACTGCGAAGTCGCGGCCGCACGGCGACGAGAAGACCTCAGTGAGCCGTGGTGCCAGGCACCCGCCCTTGTCGGGCCTGATGTGACTCTCCTTTGCTGCTTGCTCCCTTCCTTCGCTTTCTTAGGACTCGAAGCAGCGGAGGCGGCCGCAAAGCTGAGGCTCTCGCCCTACTGGGCAAGTTTAGGCGACCCGCGCTGAGGAGCGGTCAGGCTGGTCCGCCACGGCCAAGCTCACCCCGGACCCGGAGCGCTTGCCCACAGCACTCGCCCCCTCCGGCGGCGGAAATGTGGAGAAGTCGGGATAGCCGTGTTGGGAGCTGACTAGCCCTGAAACGCAGGACGCTGCTGCCGCGAAATGGGGAGCAAAGTGCTTGGGGTACTCAGTGCGGCCTCAGAGATGCAGGGAAAGCGGCTGCCGAGGCGCAGCGCAGACGCGGCCGAGTTGGAGGTGTTCGCTCTGCGGGCCGCTGCCGTCGCCACCTAGGAGAGGGGCTGAAGGCGCAGCTCCGCATCTCTCCCGGGCCGCTCGCGGCTTCCCGTAGCCGCCTCAGTTGCTGGGCTTTCGCCGCACCGGCGGCAGGAAAGTTCCCGCGGCCCTCGCCCTTCGCCTCTCTTCATAGCTGCTGCGCCTCTCCTGCTCCTGGCTCTGCAAGTGCCCACTTCAGTCCAGAGAGGCGCTCGGGCCGCGGGAGCTGCCCGCCGCACCTGGTCGTCCCTCCCCCATACCCGCCACGAGCGGCCGCCCCCGCCCCTCGCTCCCCTCCCCCAAACCACAGCCCGAGCTCGCTCCTGCGCGCGCGCTCTCCCGGGCCCAAGTGAATAGTCCTCGCGCGAGCGGGACTCGGTGGTGGATGCAATTCCGCTCGCCTACAGCCGTCAGGAGGTCCCTGGCGTCGCAGGCAGCGTCCTCTTCCGAAGCAGCTGCGCCTGCACCTGGGCAGCCTGGACCTTCGTGCCCTGCCCCCGGGGCCTCGCGCGGGGGGCGCCCCTGGTCACCCCCTGTGGGCCGGGTGGAGGAGGAAGAGGAGGAGGAAGAAGACGTGGACTGGGACCCCTACCCTACGCAGAACACCTGGCTGCGCTGCTGCCACTTCTCTTTAAGGGGGAGGAGAAGAGAGCCGAGGAGAGCCATGGGGGGCTGCGAAGTCCGGGAATTTCTTTTGCAGTTTGGTTTCTTCTTGCCTCTGCTGACAGCTTGGCCGGGCGACTGCAGTCACGTCTCCAACAACCAAGGTAAGGGACGGGGCAGAGGAGCGGGGGAGGGCGGGAGGAGGCGGGTGCTCTGAGGACCGGTGCCTTGGTAGTCTCCTGAGGTAACTTCGTCCCGGAGTCGGCTTCTCCAGCCTCCCCACACGAGGGGGTCGAGAATGTTCCCTCACCAGAGCGCCGTGTCTCCCATCGCCCAGGACCCGCTGTCGCACGAGCTGTGGTCCCTTCTGCTAACAAATATCTTTAAATGGGTTGGTGAGCATCAGCAGCAGTTGGGTCCCACCACTGGTGGCGGTGGGACCGCTACCGGCTGCGCGGTCTCTACAGGAGGTCAGGCTCGGTGGCACAGGCTTAATGGAGACTTCTGGCTCTTTGCGGTCGCTCACAGAACGGTAACGTGTAGGTTCTCCCACATGCTTTCAGGAAAGCGGATCGTTCCCTTGTAGCCGTCAGTAAACTAAGCCGTCCTCGCCTAGCTGCAACCCCTTTACACCATTCGAACCGAGTGTATGTAGACTTGTTGGAAATTATCGTAGACCAGATGCCCGGAGAGGGTGCGGGAATAAGCATTAGGTGTGAATTTATAAGTTGTGAATATCCAATTCACAAAGTCGAGTCAGTGACAAATTTTTGGGGTGAAGACTTTGTTTCTGTGAAGTGGTAAAGTGAAGATGAATGGCGTGTGAACAGTGAAAGTCACGCTTAGCAAATGGAAAGCCCTGAGAATTTTTAAACATTTTCTTTCTTTCTAGTCAACAGTATTTATGAGACATATCTCATTGGATTTCTGCTATGAATATCTGAGAATCTATAAAAAAAACACCTGCATAATCTAAATCCTCTTAGACTAAGCAGTGAACGACCGTAAAAGTTTTCCAGCATGTACCTGGCTGGATGCACTCATTGGCACTGTGATGACCACCAGTATGTCACCTGTTTTGTCACATTTTTACAAACATTTCACATATAAAATTTCAATTATAGTTACCATTCAACATATAAGACCTCAGAATAGTTTATAAATATAAAAATGGAGGTTAAATGATGTGAAATTGTGCACATTCTTTGTGAGGGTGAGAAGGCAAGTAAAACAACACAGCTTTCTTTTTTATTATGAACATATATGACCACTTTATTTTATCTGGAAATAGAATTATTCAGAATCAATATTCAGTTGTTTTCATTTATACAACTGCTACTTTTGACATGTTTTCCTAATTTTTTTTGACTTGCTAGATTGCAATCACAAATGCATATGTAAATTTGGAAGTGATACAGAACCATCATGCCTTTGAAGATGTATTATAAGTGCCACCTATAGTGCCATGCTCCCCTATGGTGGTGTATACCTTCACACACTTACCTTATTTATTTTCAAGGACTATTGACATTAAGTATCAAAGGGATAGTTGTTTAATCTACTGCTGAAAATAGGATTGTTAAAAATAACATGTAATTATGTACTTGGCCTTTTTATTGTAAGGAGAAACAATTTTTAATAATTGTAAAGTCGGACATTAATATTGTACTATATGTTTGTATTTAGTGTTACTAAAGAGATGTGTGCTTTGAGAGTCAGGTTTACTAGAAACATCTTAACAGTCATTTCCGTGCAATCATTTCCCTAAGTCAATATTTATCTTTTCATTAAGTGCCTACCACCATACACCAGTAATCATCCTAGGCCCTGAGGATACTAACATGAGTAAAACTCAATTCAGAATCTTCACATGACTAAAGTGCCATTCTACCAAAATGTGTCAAGTGTTAAAATATGACCTTTCAGATACTCAGGTTAAATTTAAGGGCATAGAGGAGTTATTTGTTAACCTCTTGCAGTAATTTTTATTTGTCTATTTTAATGGCTTGCCCATACTTTTTAAAGACATTTTACCTAAAATATTTACCAATTATATGTAATTTATGTGTTTTTATAAATTAGCATAACTTACCATTAGTGAATGTGTATTACTCAGTTTACTTTATAGTTAAATAGGATCGTTAGAGTTAGTCTACTAAAACTCAAATTTGTATTAAAAACACAAGCTATCCTTTACACTTGGCTAATGTAGTACCTAAAGGCTAAGTTGGGTAAAATTTAAAGGAGTTCTTCAACGGAAGACTGTGGAGAAAATATGTTTATATTTTTTCATCAGACACAAATGATTACTTATAAAATGGTTTTTGTAGCCTAAAATCAGTGATTAGAAATTATGATTTATAATACCTTGGGATAATTTTTGACTACTGAAGTCATCCCGATAATAGTTAATAAAATGTGGAACTTCAAAATGTTATTCTTTTGAACATTCAGGGGATTTTTTTCTTATTTATAGTTTCATAAATAGGTGACATGCGTCAATATATCTTACCAATCTTTAAACATTGAAAACATAAAGCATTAGAGAATTATTGTGGTACATATACAATATAGAAATATAAACTATAAATCAGATTTCTTATACACATAATAAATATAAGTAATTAGATTAATATTAATTTTAAGGAGATAGTATTCATTTTCCTAGTAACTTCATCCTAAGAGCTAATGGAATTTGTATTTTATTTTAAAAATTTGTTACGGAAGGCAAAATTTCAGTTTTATGTAACTTCCCTTCTAATTAAGGATATTCACAATGTAAACTTTTTAATGTTATTTATTTTTACCAAATTATGTAAAATCTTTCATGGTTGAATGAAGGAATCACCCTTTTCCCCCTTCCTAGTTTTCTATAGGTAGGCAGGGTAAAATGGTGATAATGATAGAAAAATGAACTACCTAAATTTTAACATGGTGCTTAACATGGTGCTAAGAGTAACATGAGTATAGGAAGCATCTCTTGTCTTGACGTTTATCTAGCTGTGAAGCTCTACACTATAAAGACAAAATAAATCAATGTGACTCTTCCTATTACCCAAACCTCCTTGAATCGATCAGAAAGTAGAGTTGCTTCCTAGATCATTTCATCTGATTAAGTAAGTGAAAGCATGATTTGTACTCAGATTTCTCTTATTCCATTAATTTTCCCTCTGTTTAAAACCACAGTATTTGGTGTTGGTAATTTTTATTAAAAAATAGCAGATTTTACCCTCTTAATATATGTAAAGTTTTATTTCTGTACTAGTAGGATACTTAGGTGAATATAAAATACAATCTTGTTTCATATTTAAGTAACCATGTGTAACCATGTGTATTGATTACAGTGGTTAGTAGCCCCCAAGAATCCATTAATTCAGATTACTCTGCTTTCTCCTAAAAAGAGTTGATGCATCTGTTAGGGTGTGACTCCAAAAATAATCAATCAGATACTCAAATAATTTATTAAATCAAAATATGGTTTGGATACAAGATTCTAGTGAGTTTGTTTTCTATGAAGATTGTGTGAATTGATTCCCCTCTCTCTCACCAGCCTAGGCAATTCAGTGACAGATGAAGTAAACAAGGGAAACAGTAGTCTGACTCGTTTTATTGAATTTATTAATTTGAATGAATTGAGTTTAAAATGCACTAAGTTGCATGTAAATACAGGTGAACATACCTGAGCAGAAAAATATCTGCTTATTTAAATTCATAGCCTAAAATTAGTTGAACTGCCATAAATATTGTTCACAAACTATAAAAGTGAATATTCTTATAGAGAGAGAGTAATTGAAATGTTTTTGAAAAGTTTGAGTGAACTTTACTGAAAATATTAACATTTTTGTTAAGTAAGGAAAACTGAATGATTCCCAAAGAATATTGCTAAAGGAACTTTCACTTAGGTAAAATTCATTTTCAGGGATAAACTGTAGTTGTAAAGGTGTAGGAGATTGTAATCACATGCCTTCTTGTTGACCATAAGTATAAAAACAAACTAGAATGTAATTTTATTATACATTTACAAATTGAAATGTCATTGTGCAATTAGTCATCATGATTAGTATTTAAAATAGAAATATAAAATGTCATTGATATGCATTGAACATCTAAATGTTTTTTGCTCTGGGTTTGGGTTAAGACTATATCTAAAAACTTTTTCTTACATAAAAATTATACACTCTTCTTTAAGGATCTCTTCTTCAAACCAGAAGTGACATGAATAAAACAGTTTTATTTGGATTTTCCTAAGGGGGAAAATATATATCTAATGGCATAAGACAGAATGGTTAAATTACATCTTCTATTATTTTTTATATTTTCAAATTTTCCTATAAGGAACTTATATTACTTTTATGTTACAAAATGAAATATTAAGAAAATATTAGAGTAGAAATTATTTCTTTTCTTCACCAATCATTGCTAGTAGAAATAAACGAAGTACAAAAGACATCATAGATTTCTTGTATTTCTTTCTACCAATTATCTTTCCCTATCACAGGCACCATATGTCAATCATCTCTTTCTTCTGTCTTCACACATACAAGTACTTCTGACTGCATACTCCGTTTGTCCCAAATGGTGAGAGAATAGATTTTATTTCACACTGTATATCAGTCAACCAAACCCCAAAAGTAATAGAAATTTCTTCATTGTGGTCTTGAGTCAACATTTCTTGGGAGTATAAATATGGTGGAAATCAATAGGTATAGTTAAATAATCAAAATGGGTTAACTCTGTCCACTGTACTTTGTTAGTCATCTAATCAAACTAAACTTGTATGGAAGGATTAAATTGTTTATACTGTACAGTGTTTTTTTAAAATAAAAATTATACTGTATATATCATATATATATAAATTGGACAACATAAATGTGAGTATCTTTAAGGTTTTGATCAACTTGAAATTTCATTAGACTAGCATCTTTAAAAAAAAGAAATTATATTACCTCTGCTTTTGCCTTATTTTATTGAGTAGTTTGTTTTAGATTTTAATATTTAGATGATGGAGGAAAAAGGATAAATAAGGCAAACTTTATGCCCTCTTGGAATGTATTTTCTAGTAAGGGAGAGTGGCAAAAAAAAAAAAGTAAGTAAGTAAAATGCTATGCTATACAGGAAACAGTAAAGGCACTGAGATAGAGAATAATAGGAAGGGCATGCTATT